GACAGGCCCGTCTCTTTCCAGGAGGTGAGCCGTGTGGGGATGCCAGATCGGAATTCGGGGGCCGCTGCCCATTCAGGGTCACGCGGCTCGGTGATGTAGAACCATCCCGATTTCCACCCTCTGATGGTTTCCACAAAGGATCCCTCGAGCCATGTGACGTTGGCCATCTTGCCCACCATGGCGCCTCCGCACTCCGCCTGCTGGCTGCCCACTACCTTCGGCTTGACATTGAAGATCTTCAGCCATAAGCCGAAGTGGGGCTTGATGCGGAGGAAGACCTCGCACACGACGATAAACGCCGAGATGTTGAGGATGAAGTTTGGGGCCAGATCGTGGAAATCCAGGCCATAGTAGAACATGAGCCCCCGGACAAATAGGTGGAGTGGGAAGCCTAGTCCGCGGAGGAAATGGGGGAGGAACACCACCCTCTCATGTGTCCTAGGGGTGGGAATGAGCTGCCCCTCGTCTGGAAGCCGGTGCGCAATGTCGTTGGACAAGTATCCGGCCTTCCTCAACTTTTTGATGTGCCCCTCCGTAACGGAGGAGGCCATCCACCTACCTCCCGCTCCGGACATGGCTGGAGAAGGTTGAGGTGGGAAGTGCGGACTTGGGCGCTGGATCTCGAGTGCGCGGAGATGGATAAGCAAAGGAGGAAGAAGGCGTAAATGGAAAGAGTGGATCCTTATCCCCTTATATGGGCGGACGAAACTATGTACCCCCATCAGCCTAGTAAAACTCGCTTATCTCCCAAGCACCATGATTAATGGCGCGGCTGGGTTACCCACGCCCGTATTGATGAGAATCCCGGAATAAGGGGACACGATATCTGCTTTGACAAGACGTGCCAAGGAAACCGCCTCGCTAAACGCGCTGAGGTGGGATAGTAAAACGATTCGAATGAAGGCTTGGCCGTGGCATGATGTCACGCTACGGAATACGTCAGCAGATTATATTTGAATATTATTCTCTCTATGGTGGTATGTGGAATTTATTTTGCAGAGCCACACACTATCCTTGTGTTCAAAATCTTCTATGAAGTATTCGGAGGAGGAACCCGCCTTGCAATGCCGAAGACAATCTGCGCGCCGTACTCGTCGTCATTGAAGCCTGGTTCAGGGGCTACTGAGGGAGTCTCGGATTAGGGGGTGTCCGGATGACCGGACTATAACCTTTGGCCGGACTCCTGGACTATGAAGATACAAGATTGAAGACTTCGTCCCGTGTCCAGATGGGACTTTCCTTGGCGTGGAAGGCAAGCTTGGTGATACGGATATGTAGATCTCCTCCCATTGTAACCGACTCTGTGTAACCCTAGCCCTCTCCGGTGTCTATATAAACCGGAGGGTTTTAGTCCGTAGGATGAACAACAATCATACCATAGGCTAGCTTCTAGGGTTTAGCCTCTCTGATCTCGTGGTAGATCTACTCTTGTACTACCCATATCATCAATATTAATCAAGCAGGAGTAGGGTTTTACCTCCATCGAGAGGGCTCGAACCTGGGTAAAAACATCGTGCCCCTTGTCTCCTGTTACCATCCACCTAGACGCACAGTTCGGGACCCCCTACCCGAGATCCGCCGGTTTTGACACCGACAGCTGGCGTCCACCAACGGGGCGCCGGTGGTCGGCGGCCTGAAGAACAGCGAGGGGCGCCACCTATGGTAGGGCGTCCCCGGCCGCACGCTTGAGGGCGTGCTGACGCACCTCGAGGGCGGCAACAACCCACCGTTGGCGTACCCCCCGGCGAGGGCGGCCGCCCCGGCGCACCGCCGACGCGACGGGCAATGGGCGCCAAGGAGGTTCGGCTCCTCCTCCTCTTCCTCCTCGTCTCGCTCTTTGTCTCAATCCTCTGGCACTCCGACGCTGCTCGGCGTCAAGGCCGAGCCCGCGGCGGAGATGCCGCTCGGCCGCCGCACTCGCAGCGCTGGCATCGTCATCAGCGAGGGCGGTCGGCGCGCCTCCTTGTCGGCTCCTCCCCCGCGCTTCGTCAAGCCGAAGACGAAGTCGGGTCTCGCGCCGGTGAAGACGGAGCCGGGGTTGGAGCCGGTGAAGACGGAGCACGGCGAGGTCAAGCTCGATGACGACGCGGCCCTTGAATGCGCATGCCAAGACTCCCTGAATATGGCGAGGGAGCGCCAGTGCGCCGCCCTGCGGCGCTTCGCGCAGCGCCGCCGAGGCCGCGATGAAGGAGGAGTCGTCATCATCGACGACAGCGACGACAACGACGCGTCGCCGCCGCCACCAGCCGGGGAGGGGTCCAGCAGCGGCGCCCGAGTCAAAGTGGAGAAGGCCGACGATGGCGGCGACGACGGCGACTTCTCGGCCTTCAGCAAGTTTTTTTTATTAGTTTTTATATGTAATGACAACTACTCGACTTAAATCCGCGAATATAAAGCCCAAGTTTACCGAAATTTGGCGTGTTTTAGTCAAACTTTGCCTAAATTTGCTATACAATTTTTTTTTCTCGCCTGGGGGCGGCCCTGGGGCCCGCGGCCGGGGGCCAACTCGCCCCTAGGCCCATTTTTTGCACCGGGTCACCCCTAGGCGGCGATTTTAGGCGCCCCTGGAGGGCCAACGGCTGGAGATGCTCTCACGTTTAGTACCCTCGCGGCTACCCATTGCACCGGAAAACTTTCTTTGGAAATATTAAGCAACACACTCTATAAGAACATAATCCAAGACAGATGTAAACATTTTTTAAAGTTCGAACGTTCGTTTATTTTTTTGCGGGAAAAACGCAGTTTGTTTTCAAAACCTGTATCTTTTTTTCAACGCCGACAATTCCAAAATTGTGAATAATTAATTTAAATTGTTGAACATTATTTGACCTGTGTACAATTTTTTTGAAAAACAACAAAGTTTTATTGTAATGTTGAACAAAATTTTGAAAAACAAGAACATTTCATAAAAAATGAACGAAAATAGTAAAAGTGAACATTTTTTGGAACTTGGAACAAAATTTGAAGAAAGCGAACATATTTTTGGATCTGTGAACAATTTTTGAGAAAGGGAACATTTTTTGTAACTCTGAACAAAATTTGGCAATGCGAACATTATTTGGAATTGTGAACATTTTTTGAAAATGCGACCAAGATTTGAAACTCAAACATTTTTTGAATTAACAGAAACAAGATTTCAAATGTGAACAAAGTTTTGAAAATCTGAACATTTTTTGAAAATGCGAAAAAGTTTTGAAACTCGGACTTTTTTGATTTAATAGAAATAAGATTTAAAATGTGAACAAAATTTTGAAAATCTGAACATTATTTGAAAATGGGAACAAGTTTTGAAACTTGAACATTTTTTGAATTAATGGAAACAAGATTTCAAATGTGAACAAAAATTTGAAAATCTGAACATTTTTTGAAAATGCGAACAAGTTTTGAAACTTGAACATTTTTTGAATTAATAGAACAAGATTTCAAAATGTGTTTTTTTAAATCCAAACATTTTTAAAAATGCGAACAAGTTTTGAAACACGAACATTTTTTGAATTAATAGAAACAAGTTTTCAAAATGTGAACAAAAATTTGGAAATCTGAACATTTTTTGAATTGTTTATCATTTATTTAGAGAACATGATCAAAATAAATTTCCGAAGATTGTTTGAAATTTTGAGCTAAATTTGAAATTCCAAACAAATTATGAAATGCTGAGTTCATTGAAAAATTGGAAACTGAAAAAGGAAACAAAAAGAACAGAAAAAGAAAAAAGAAACAGAAAAAAATGAAAAACGAAAAAGGAAAAGAAAACAAAAATAAAATAAAAGACCCCGGCTTAGGAACCTTCTGGAAGATTCCGTAAACCGGAAAAGACCGCTGGAACCTTCGAGAAGTGTCCCAAACCGGCAACGAGGAACGCATTAACGGGCCGGCCCATCTCAAACACTCGATCGCGACCGCGAAAGGTCAATAATGTGACGCAAAATGCGTCATATAGGGTTTTCCTACAGTGCCTTCACCTGTTGTCGCCTGTCCTTCGATCTTCAGTATTCATCTCCTGTTGGTCGGCGTCGCTGACAAACAGGCTGCCGCCATTGGCCACACCCAACCCCACCCCCATCCTCTGGCCGATCTCCACCCACGCCACCACAAACGCCGCCGCCGGGAGCCACCACGCCACCATGGACCGAGGGAAAGGCCGCTCCCCCGCGGATCCAGTGCCCTCCCCGCGGTTCAACCCGGGAGAAGGAGGAACAGCCCTCCACCGCCGCCGTCAATCGCACGGGCTTTGCCCGGCGCCGCCCCGGGCGGCGACGGAGGGGAGGAGTCGGGGCGGCTGGTGGCTAGGGTTGGCGCCTCTCGTGTCGGCCGCAAGGGGTGTGATGCGAGAGGGAGGGTTGGCCTCCGGTTGATGAGTTGATGATCTCCGGTTGTACATTCAGTCTGACTAAAACTAGTCTCTTTTAGAGGCTAAAATTCCAATCACCCTGACTAAAGAGAGGCTAGAACTAGTCTTGAGACTAAAAAATTTTAGTCAGGGAAACCCTACTAAAATATGGATTAGTCCTCTCTCTCCTCATTTAACTCCTCTCCTTTAACACATGCGAGTTCGGGATTGGAGAGTTTGGAGGATAATAAATGCTCATTAACACATTTTAGTCTATTTAGTATTTGTATTCAAGCATGGGTGAGGCTAGCAAGTTTTAGTTCCACTACTTTTAGTCATGAGACTAAAACGTATCCAAGCACCCTCTAAGGTTGTAATGTCCGAATTATAAGTCATTACTTAGAACAACTACATGTCATTTACAATCAAAAGTTTTCGAGACTAACTGATCCTGAAGTTCTGATTACTTCGGCTCAAGTCTATCGGTTGCTCATCACAAACATATCCAGTCTCACACACACAAGGATTATTAACTAGTACTATTATTTCCACGTTTGCTGGCATATAGACTGCAGTGCTTTCACACGATGCCCTTCAGAAAAGGAACACAGAGGAAAACAGAGTAGCTCAAGAAGCCAGCTGTAACTCAGATGCAGTGAGTGATTCAAGCTCAGTTGAAATGGTAGAGAGGCAGCTCAGCATTGAGAGGGTGGGACATCACTGTCAGCACATGTGTCACTGAGATCATCGAGCTTATCGCCGCTTTGAGGGTATCCCTCGAGCAACCGGGCTTCACGATCGTCTTCACCTGGAAGTAAATTCATTGGTATGCTTGGCACAGTTAGGAACACGAGACAGGCAACAAAATGCAACCTGAGTCGAGATATAGTTTCAGGCACGAACCTTGTCGAGATATAGTTTTAGCATTTCGATGTCGCCCATGTAGTCCTGATCTTCAATGGTCAGTGTGATGGGCTTTGCATCTGAACCAGGTCCTTCAAATTGAATACCTCCAGGAGTCCTGTAGAAGTCATCGAGGAGAAAGCTCGAAGCTTTCTCTCGCAGCAACCTGAGTCATACAGGAAACGATTCAGTTCGTATAAGGCGTAAGATCGTGACCAGATAAAAGTAGGACTTTTAAGTGTTACAACTAGGGAGTAATTGGGCATTATTTGCTTGTAAATTTCATTTTACATCATGAACCGATGCGTTTTTTTGTTCAGTAATGACCTCTAAATAAAATGAGTTCCATGGACTTCGTGTTTTATTATATCAGTGGTCTCATAAATCGCTCAATGTGAATTATGTTAACAATATTTAAATTAATTATGTTTTTACAGGTTACAAATCAGTTACGCTAGAAGTCTAAACATTTGTCGACAATATGTATAATGTTTTTTTGAGGAATATTTTAAATAGTTCTATTGTAGTAAAAAAACTCACATTATTTATTAAAAAAATCACATTACATATTTTTCTGTTATAGTTAGAGAAATCTCAACCTTCCCTACTTTGATAATGATAGGGGTGTTTTTTTTTTGAACTCATAATGATATGGTGAGTTATTCATGGGGTTGAACACTTGATTCAAGTTTTTTTTCTCAAATCTACAGTAATGAAGATGACACTTCTTCATTAGGGTTGGACACTGACGTAGATATAGGCAATCTGGAATTCCCGCTCTTTAGTTTTGAAAGAACTAAATATAAGACGTTTTTGCAGTTTAAATTGAACTACAAAAAACGATTTGAACTGCAAAAAGGTCTTATATTTAGTTACAGACGTTGTGTTACATTAGTTAACCTTCAAGAAAAGGAACAATTTGAGTTAATAAAAGCACCTTTTATATAAAAAAAATCATAGACTTACTCATATGCCTTCCCTTTCAGGTCGATAGGAGAAGGATGAATGGCAGGCTTTCCTATAGGGATTGCCCCAGGACCACGTAAATGCCTCCTGACACTCATCATTGCCTGGTAATGACAACAATAAGTATTACTGGGTTAGTAAGGACTACTTAAACAGATGGTAATCTTTTTGTACTAAATTCAGACAATACAACAGAACAAGTTTTACAAAGTAGTCTAGTTGACAAGAAGCCCATAATAAGAGTATGGCCGAAGAAATTTCTAGCTGAAAAGAAGTCTAGTGGACAAAGTAATTCTTGCTTATCTGCTTCTCCAATGTACATGATGGGTTTTTACTTAACTGCAAAAGGGGTCCTAGATAAGATGGATTCCATACCATTTAGTGCAGAGGATAAAGATAGTTTTCTTTTTTAGGGCAACAAATTTGATACATGTTCTTTTTTTTTTGTCAAGACCAAGCTTTCAAGTCTAAACAAAATATTAAGGAATAGAAATGGCAACATAAATAAAGATCTTACGGTTAGCGGGGCAGCAGCACATCGCCACTTGTGTACAGGGTCCTTGAGATTAGCCACAGTTGCCATGTAGCCAGTCAAACCAGCTGCTATCATATGCAGGGAGATATGGCCAAGAACCTGCATAGTTCAAATATTGGAGTATTTTGCCTTTAAAAAATATTATATTCTTACAAGTTACAATCCTTACATAAGCATAGTCACAGTCAAAGTTTGACGGTAGGGATCCTCGAGCTTGATATCCAAAGAAATGGCAGACTGAACTGAACTTCTTTCCCTTGTATCTCCCTTCTTTCTGGAAATTAAGCAACATGATCAGAAGGGACTAATCCTGAAATTTAAAACCCAGATAAAAGAAACAGAAGCGTCAAAACTCACTGTTCTTTTTATCATTTCTGCTTCTACCAAGTGAGCTAACAGTTGTTCGGTGTCAATCTGTCAAAGCGACAATGTGATACCAACGATTGCATGATAAAAATTTCAGCAACTAAGAGCATGGCGAGTCACAAACCTGGGACAACTGGGCAGAGTTGTCAGATTCTTGATGGAGGAGGAGCTGAATGAAAAATGGAATGTATTGGGAACTTAGTTTATGTTAATCAGCTAATGTCATAACACTATGCGAATAAAAATTGCTGGAAATGCAGCACCTCTCTTCTGATGAAGGGTGGTAAGAACTGGAACAGTGCCGCTGCCCACGGAGACAGTTGTGTTGGTATCTCTGTAACAGGCACATTATTGTTGTGGAGGATACTGATTTCCTGGAATGGTTGAACAGAAATGAATAAGGTAGAACCAAAGTTATGGTCTTAATCTTATTATTAGGTGGCCGGAAGCATTATACCTGAATGAGTGCATACATTTCTGGAATGCTTTCTATCAGTCCCTCTGGTATAAGGAGCACACCATGGTGTTTTCCTGAACATGGATACCGGGACATCAGTTTATCACAATATACAAAACATCTGATCTTGGGTGGTATATGTGTAAAGATGGCCTAAAAATTATGGACAAAGTGTTCAGCTAATATCGCAAACAAACCGACCGAAGGACTGTACAAACCTAATTCTGCCCTTGCTTGTACTCCGTCACATATCTTGTTTATAACCTCCATCAGTGTGAGTTTTGACAATGCCACCTCCTCTCCCATGATAAGCTGTATCGAGAAGTTCAAAAAATTAAAGATTATAATACTGCTCTTCTCATGCATAGTAGTGATCTGGTTTACAAGTTCGATGACTCGTACCATGTTTGGGTGTGATTGTAGTGCACATTCTAAGGCGACATGAGATGCTTTTCGACCCATCAAACGAACAAAATAGTAGTACTGGTAGGTAAATGCACAGCAGCAAAGTGCGCTGTTAGTGAAATGTAATTAGGATTATTTAACATCTAATCTGAATGAGTGAATTACAGTGTTACCTTTCCAGCTGAGATTGCATCTAGGCAGACATTGCTTATAAGCTGAGAATTCACCTGAAAAAGAATTTCGATAAATGGCAGGAGTGACAATCTGATAATGGTAAACCGCATCCGATGCCTTTTGAAATACGCGCGAGTCATTTCGTCCTAGAAAATTGCAGGTGGAATCCAGTGAGTTACCTTGCACACCGTGTCAAATCCAACGGTTGTCTCGACAAACTGGTTTTTGAGATCGCCATTCAGTGAAACAGGCACACCAACGACCTGTTCAATAAAGACATTAGTCACTGGGAGATTTCTGGGGCCCGTGAAGAATACGAGCATTTGATATTACAGATTAAATTAATACATTACCTTGGTCTTACAGTTCTTTTGGACAAGGGTCTCTGCGAGCTGTGCAGCATCTGAATTGGAAGTGACTCCTGATAACAGGGAGTAAGTGCAGTGTTAACAGAACCACGTACATGCTTCTACTAAGATGGGATATTTGATGGACTTGAAATTGCTTCACCAATTAAGGTTGAAAACATATCATGTATGTTGACAACGTGGTACACTATAATAGAACTCAAAATAGCTTGTGCATCATATTATTGGCATATGGTAAACTTGGATCAATAGTTTTCATGGACTGTCATATAACCAATTTTATCGGGTTTTCGTATTGGTACCTCCAACAATGACCAGGCCATCCAAGTTAAGATCTTGGCACGTCGTCATAGCAGCACTCACTTGCTTACTCGAGCGGATCTGGTCAATACTTCTGCCCAGCAAATCGAAACCACCTGGGAAAAGAGAGGTGCAAAGTTTATTCTGTCATCCATAAGAACTGCAGAAGCGTGTCAAGAATCGACGGTAGATGAACACACTTACCCTGGTTCTTGTATGAAGCAAGAACATCATTTGTGATCTCCAATGTCTTGTTTGCAAACAGCCCCTCAGTCCCACCTACACACAAGCACAACCTACTTTAAATAAACAAAATTCTTTCATTTCTTATATACACCAAATCATTTTTTTCTAGAATACTATTATATAGACCAAATCTTGTGAGAAAAAAAAATCCAGATGCTGACGCACCAAGAGACTATTTTTTTTCTTTCGAAACTGAGCCAAAAAAAAGCCAATAGGAAACTGAGACTTTGGAGTAAAAGATTACCAATAAATCCGTAGAGAATACTCTGGGGATTGTAAACCTTGAGAGCATCATGGAGGCCCCAGACCACATTGTGCCCTCCAGGTGACTGCCTCCCGGAGAAGACCACGCCCACCCTGCAAAATCAGCATCACTGTATCAGTGTTACAGATTCCCATTGGACGGATTATCAAACGATCCGGGCTAACTGCTGAGCTTGACCTGATGGGCTGGCGCTCGTTGACAGCCTTGACAGCCCCGGCGGTGTCGTCCGGCGAGAGAAAAGTGACGAGCCGCTGGCCGTAGGTGCGCGGGAAGGCCTGGGCGACGGCGTGCGCGCCGGTGGGGTCGATGGTGGTGGTCGCATCGTCGTACTCCACCCTCACCGTCGCTCCCTGGGTCAAACAACGAATTTAAGTATCACTAATCCAAGAACGAGAGAGCGGGGATGGGCAGCAGAGGATACGATGATGGAAACCCGGGCGGGCTGGTGGATGATCACCTGGAGGCAGGGTGGGAGGCGGGGCTGGTACAGCGCCCTCCTCTGCTGCAGGGGCCCCGCCAGCTCCGTGGGCACGCCGTAGTCCGCGTTCATCCCTCTTGATAGATCGCTCGGTACAAGATTAACGATTTTACTTGCTGGTTGGTGGAGTTGTGGTGCTGGTGCTGTGCGTTGGTCCGGTGAAGAAAGACGGGGGAGATATGAGAGTGTGCGTATTGTCATACCACGGGTCGGCGCCTGCGGTTTGACATGCGTCCTTGTTGTCTGTTTTGTCAAACCGGCGGGAGAGCGACACACGGGTGCTGTCCCTAGGCTATGGGCTGCCCCCTGATTTTTCTGTGCTTTTTCATTCTTCGAATGTATGCCCGACTCTTTATTCACGGAGGGGGCGGCCGGAAAGCGACGCCCACTTCCGATTGGTTTATACTATTGACAAAAAAAAATTCGATCGATTTGATTGCACATATAGCTAAAGTTTTGCTTTTGCGTAGAGATATTTTTGTTGGCTCGTGGGCAAGATCCTTGGATTATTCCTAGAGGGCTGCTACTAATCAACCGGATGACTTCCTGCCTAGCCAGCTATCTGATCTGCGTGTTGGTGGTCGTTCGATCACAGCAACAGCAACGAGCGCGCGACAACTTCAACGGAGCATCGATAACACCCCAGTGAAGCTCTATTACAGCTCTCATGGCGCACCACACGGCGCGACAAAAGCTGTAATGCAACATCGACGGTGTCCGGCGAAGCTCATTACATCCCCGGCAGAGCTCTATTGCATCCCTGTCCAGGCGGCGCTCCATTGCATCCCCATTGTTAAACATTGTCTTGAATAGCACGCATAGGTAGAGATAGATTTCCATCGCAAAAAAAAGGTAGAGATAGATTTATCTTAACCATGTATTCATTTATCTTTCTATCTCTTCTTCTGTACGATTGTATCTCCTCTCTGTTACAATATGATATGTATGCGCTATTGGGAGGTGCGCCCCAACCAATCAATATATACATGCGGGCCTCCTGTTTGGAGGTTGAGACGCTTCAACATAATCTTCTACATGGTATACAGAGCTACCCTCTTCCCCTTCGTCTAGCCATCCCTTCTTCCACCTCCAAACTCGACAATGTCGACATCCACCTCAGTTGTCTCCACCGGCCTCAACAACAATGTTTTCGAACCCCTCACTCGTTCCAATTATGTTCTCTGGCGTGCCCAAGCTCGTTCCCAGATCATGGGGGCGGGTCTCTTCGGGTATGTCGACAAAACCCTAGAAGCGCCATCCAAAACCATCACCAGCAAGAACGCCGAGGGCAAAGATCAGGTGTCTGTGAATCCTGCTTATGCACCTTGGCTCATCCAAGATCAACAGATCGTCGCCTATCTTCTCCGCAATCTCTCAAAAGAGGTTCTAGTTCAAGTAGCATCCCTAGAAACCTCCCATGCCATCTGGTCCGCCCTCGCCAACATGTTTTCTGCTCAATCTCGCTCTCGCTGCAACCACATCCGCATCTCCCTCACCACTGCCCAGAAGGGAACCCAGTCCGCTGGTGCATACTTTGGCTATATGCGAGGTCTTGCTGATGAGATTGCAGCGGCTGGGAAACCCATAGATGAGGACGAACTCGTGTCTCACATCATATCCGGGCTCGACATGGAATACCAGCCCATCATTAGCGCCCTGGATGTGCGTCCTGAGCCAACCACCGTCGACGAACTCTTCACATGGTATCCACTTTTGATCAGCGAGTTGAGATGTTCCAGGGCACCGGCGGCCAAGCCTTCAAGTCATCGGCCAACGCTGCTTCCCGCGGACGGGGTGGCCCTTCCAAAGGCTACTGTGGCGGTGGCGGTGGTTCTCGTGGTGGTGGCGGACACTACGATGGAGGTGGTGGCGACCACTACGGCGGCGGTGGTGGCGGTCACTACTCCAACTCCCACGGTGGTGGCAGCGGTGGCCACTACGGTGATGACGGTGGCAACCATGGTGGTGGCTATGGTGGCCACTACCCCAACTCCGGAGGCAGCGGAGAACACAACTACAACAACGGCGGTCGCCCCTTCTACAACAACAACATGGGAGGCCAGAACAACTACAACAACAACTTCAGAGGGTATGATGAATATGAAGGAAGATGTCAAATTTGCAAGAAAACTAACCATATTGCAAAGCAATGCAAGTGACGCTATGCAGACGATAATTCACAAAAAAAGAAAGTTGTCGCGGCAGCCAACAAGTCATACGGAATAGATACCAACTGGTATGCCGATTCTGGTGCTTCTGACCACATCACCGATGAGCTCGAGAAGGTCACCATGCATGAGAAATATCATGGTCATGAGCAAGTTCACAACGCCGATGGTACATGTATGGAGATAAGCAATATTGGTCATTCAATTATTCATTCCCCACATAGGGATATTCACCTGAATAATATTTTGCATTGTCCCACTTCATCAAAAAGCCTCCTATCTGTTCATCGCATTGCCCTTGACAACCATGTATTTTTAGAATTTCACCCATTCTTCTTTTTGATCAAGGATCAGGTCACGAAGCAAATCCTCTATCGAGGTAGATGCGTGGATGGACTGTACCCGTTGATTCCTCAAGTTAGCAGATTCAATAAACAAGTGTGTAGCACCATCAAGCTGTCGTTGGAGAGATGGAATGCCTGTTTAGGCCACCCTTCCTTTTCCATTTTCAAACAAATTCTTAGCAAAAATAAACTTTCGGTTGTTGGGGAGCATAATTCTGAAACTATTTGTGACTCTTGCCAAAGAGCAAAAAGCCATCAGTTGCCTTATCCTGTTTCCACTAGCATTTCTGTTAAGCCATTACAACTCATATTTTCAGATGTATGGGGTCCTGCTCCTCTCTCTGTTGGGAAACATGCCTACTATGTTAGCTTTATTGATGATTATAGCAAATATACATGGATCTATCTTCTAAAAAAAGGTCTGATGTATTTCAAGTCTTCCTCAATTTCCAAGCTCTTGTAGAAAGGAAGTTTGATAGGAAGATCATTGTTGTCCAGTCAGACTGGGCTGGCGAATATGAAAAGCTAAATTCTTTCTTTCAGAAGTTAGGCATTTTTCACCATGTTTCATGCCCCCAGGCACACCAACCAAATGGCTCCGCAGAGCGGAAACACAGACACATCGTCGAAGTAGGACTCTCCCTACTTGCGGCTGCTTCCATGCCCCTCAAGTTTTGGGACGAAGCTTATCTCACTGTTGTTCATCTTATTAACATCCTTCCCAGACGAGTTATTAAGAGTGAAACGCCCACTGAGCGTCTTTTCCACACTAAACCAGATTATGCTCCTCTTCATATTTTTGGTTGTGCATGCTGGCCTAATCTCCGCCCATATAACAACAGAAAACACATGTTCCGTTCCAAACAATGCGTTTTTCTGGGTTACAGTGCTCAACACAAGGGAGTCAAGTGCCTAGATGTCTCCACTGGTTGTGTCTATATTTCTCGTGATGTTGTCTTTGACGAAACACAGTTTCCGTTTGCTAAACTTCATCCAAATGCCGGCGCTCTCCTTCGGAAAGAGATCCTTCTTTTAGGCCCTAATCTCACAAATAGTGGTAGTGGGGAAATAAATAATTGTGATGATCAAGATTTGCCTAACTCTCCTAATGGTTTACCTGAGTATTCTATTTCAGAAGCTACTCCAGATCATAATGGTGAAAACAGTGCTGAAAATGGTGTACAAAATCGAGCTACAGGGCAATATTTCATGTGCACGCACTCTCCTGGCGAATCTGCTTCGGGATCTCCCCAGGTGCCTGCGTCAGACGAGACAGGCGAATCTGCCGTAGGCAGATCAGCCGCGGGATCGCCGCCAGGGCCCGCCTCTCCGCTCCTGTCGGGCTCCCCGCCCGGCTTCTCACGCGCGCGCTGGCCTGGCCGCTCCGAAGGCGCCACGTCTCCGTCGCCACGCGCTGCTGGGCCCGCCACAGGCGCCCCTGGACCAGACGCGCCTTCACCAACCGACCGGGTCGCTCCCGAGGCCCGAACCGACCGGGCTGCTCCCGAGGCCCGACCGGCGCCTGCTTCCCCCAGCGCAATTGGATCGCGCACCGCTGCTCCAGAATCCGCCTCGGGATCCCATGCTGCAGAGGATCTGCTGCTGCACTCGCCCGGATCTCCTGCGGCGGAATCCCATGTGGTCGCTCCTACACCGCCACGCACACGTCTTCAACAAGGGATTACATCCAGAATTAATTACAAAAACATTGCAAAATATGGTCTGACTTGCTTGACAGGTGAATCTAGTGAACCCAAGACTTTGCATGAAGCTCTTGGTGATTCACGCTGGAAACAAGCAATGGAGGAGGAGTTTTCTGCCTTGCAACGCAAGAAGACGTGGCACCTCATTCCTCGTCGTGAAGGTATCAATTTAATTGATTGGAAATGGGTCTATAGAATCAAGAGGAAATCAGATGGGAAAATTGATCGGTTTAAAGCACACTTGGTAGCAGAAGGTTTTAAACAGCGCTATGGTATTGACTATGAAGATACTTTTAGTCCTGTTGTCAAAGCTGCATCCATTCGTCTTGTGCTCTCCATTGCTGTTTCCAGGGGATGGAGTCTCAGACAGCTAGACATACAGAACGTGTTTCTTCATGGTGTTCTGGAAGAGGAGGTCTACATGAAACAACCTCCTGGGTTTGAGGACAAAAATGTGCCGTTTCATGTCTGTAAACTTGACAAAGCTTTGTATGGGCTCAAGCAAGCACCTCGAGCATGGTATGCTCGGCTGAGTATGAAACTTCAAAAGCTTGGGTTTCTTCCATCCAAATCTGACACTTCTCTGTTTATTTACAACAAGTTTCAAACCATCATTTTTGTTCTCATTCACGTTGATGACATTATTGTGACTAGCTCATCTAATGAAGCAATAACAACACTGTTAAAAGATCTTAGGGCAGATTTTGCTTTAAAAGATCCGGGAGACTTGCATATTTCTTAGGCATAGAAGTCAAGAAAACTGAACATGGCATTCACTTATCACAAGGAAAGTATGTGACTGATCTGTTAGGCAGAGTTGGTATGCAAAATTGTAAGCCTTCTCCAACTCCCTTGTCCAGCACAAAACAGTTATCCTTGACAGAAGGAGCACTTTTGAATCAGGAAGATAGCACCAGTTACAGGAGCATAGTTGGAGCATTACAATACTTGACTCTTACTCGGCCTGACATTTCTTTTGCAGTCAA